CTAGGGCCACTCCTGCGTATAACCTCTGAGATTTGTAGTGGCTGCACAGTTACTGTATTAAATGCTTTTTAACATCCCTAGCCATCACTGCTCACTTATGGTTTTAAACAAGCACTTTTGTGCTTTCTCCCATGCGGCCCATAAACAGAGGCAAAGCTGCCCGGTTGTCCCTTAAAATCCCTCCTCAAACCCTCCTCTGTCGTGATGCTGCCAAAAAGGCGCATCGCCAAGCATGCTCGCCATCCTGACTCGGTCCCCCCACCTTTCTGTCTGTCTTCACCTGTTGTCTCTTGTCTCTCTCTCAAATCAGAAGCTCTCTGTGTTTGTACAGGCCCTACCACAACATAGACTTGTGGGCAGGTTACACAGTAAATGCATTTCACAGGGCTTTTGATCCATATTTGTATAAATGCTAAAAGGGTTACAGGCACTAGGGTTGTAATAGTGAAGTTGCTTAACTGATAAGCAAAACCTTATAGGTTAATGCGATAGACTACATGCATTCTCCCCCCTCCCTCCCCCCCACCAGTAAGTTTTTAGGAGGCTGGCCAGCAGCCCAGCTAGGCCCTGGCTTGGGCCGGGTCTGGGACCTACCACCACTGCAGCTCTGCATTTAAAGTGTATTAGGAGCCAGGCGGGCAGGCAGCTCAGCTCGCTTCTGGCTCAGCCTGGGTCCTGGAGCTCAGCCCCCTTCCCCCCGGACAGGGGCAGCAGTGCAGGGCTCCAGTCAGTCTGCGAAGGGAGCTTTTTTTTTAAACTGGCTTCCCTTGTGGACTAGCTCCCACCTGGAACCCCACGCTGGTGCATCTGATAGAGGCAGCAACGTGGAGTAGCAGGGGCTCCTTGGGAGTGGGGCCGGAGCGCACTGGCTGCCAACCCCAGCCCTGGGGACTACAGAATAGTCGAGTAACTGATAAGAATTCACGCGGTTAATCGACTATTCAGTTAACCGATATTTAACATCCCTAGCAGGCACAAGTGGCGTGACTTAAAACCCCATCACACAGATCTCTGTGCAGCAGCAGAATTGAGGGGAACTCACCACCAGTCTCCCAGATCCTTTCCCCTGAAGTATTTGATGTTGGTTCTGTGGGAGACGGGATCCCAGCTTAGATGGATCTCATGCAGAGAGATGGCGGGAGCAGGATGCTGAGCCAGACAGGCCTGGGGGTCTGCCCCAGGGTGGCAGGGAGGGGGCAGGATACCAGGGTAGATGGGCCTGTCGGACTGATCCAGTCTGTCTGCTCCAATATGCCCGTCCCCCCACGGTTGACACTCTGCATTCTTGTGCAATTTATGCTTTAGGCTTTTTTTGCGATGGCAGCCCTTTATCTCAGAGTGGCTACCCATGTCTAGACAGATGAGACTTTGCTACAGGTTTCAAACCAAATGTTTAGTTAGAAACATAATTGCCACCACAGAACAGACCCATGGGCCCATCTAGCCTGGTATCCTGCCCTCTCCATACCCCCCTGGATTAGGCCCATGGCCATATAGTCTAATATCACACTTCCCCTCATTCACCCAGGATCAGACCCATGGGCTGGTCTAGCTTAGTGTCCCACCCCCTCCCTGCTGCCCTGAGTCCAACCGCTGGGCCCATCTAGATTGCCTGTCCCCACTCTTGTGCCCCAGATCAAACCTGTGAGCCCATCTAGGCTGATGCCCTGCTACCCCCAATCAAACAGATTATCCCTTCTCCAGCAGTAGCTAACACCTGCTTCTGCAGAGGGGGCGGACAGTTCTGGAGTAACCGGCCCTCTTGACACATTTCTTCCTAGCCCCCATCAGATCATAGTCCTGGGCTTCTTAGAATTTTGCTAAACTCGGCCTCAAAGCAGGGAGTTCCACGGGCTTACTGTGCATTGCCTCAGGGTCTGCCTAAAGAAACACTGTGTATACAGCACCCTTAGCCAAATCGCCCCACTGCACATATAATGGAAAGGGGGTATGATTATATGTACAATTGTGGGATAGCGGCAGATTGCATAATGTATAATCTGAGCAATCAGAGAGCCTGTATGTAGATAACACACAATTGGGGACAGAGTCTGTTTGCATTATATAGCATATTGGGGTAGTGGACAGATTTTTTTTTATACATGTGGTACAGGCCGTCCTCACTATAAGCCCAAGATATGTACTAAAAAACTTGGACTTATAGCAAAATAACTTACAGCGGGGAATTTTTTCCTGCAGCTGACTTCCATTTGCACAGATTTTTTTTTGTGACTTAAGAGCGGGGAATGCGAGGACTTAGAATGCATCAGTTCCTACAAATGTCAATAACTTTAGAGCGGAATGGATGTATACTGGGGCGACTTATAGCAGGGCGCCCTGTATCTGCTGGCTGAGATCCCTTATGTAAATAAAAGTACCTCCCCTATAGATTACAGGAAACCCTGGCCATTCACAATAGACGCCGCATTCTAGCATCCACTGTGAATGGCGAAATGCATGAATACCGGGAGCTGCAGGGAACTCGCCGTGGCTTCTGGCAGCTGTGGTGAGTTCCCCGTGGTTCACAGCCCCCTCCCCAAAGGCCAGGCCAGGATACCTGCAAATACAGGGACCCACCAATCGCAATTCCAGCAATCCTGAGGGCCTCCTGTAGGGCAATCAGGGCCCTTCCCAGCCTTCCTTTGATGGCTTTGTCTGGTCTGTTTTGCCCCACCCGCCTTTCTTGATGCTCCCTTTCCCCTGCCCGTTTTCTGTCAGGGTCTTTCCCACAGCAACAGGGAGGGGGAGAAGCCCATTTATAAGCGATGTATTTTTAACAATGACAGTCATTGGCCATCGAAACAATTCCACAGGGCTCCCGGTGGGCTCCCCTCATTGACCACTTTGAAATCAAGGGTGGATGCTTTTCTGCAAGCGCTGCGCTAGGAATTGTGTTGGAGAAGGTCTCTGACCAGTGATACCAAGAGCTCAGACTAGATAGTCACAGCGGCCCCGTCTAGAACCCGCGTAACCTGGCAAACTGATCCCGAGTCCCTGCTCGAAACTGGCCAGGTCTCAGGTTGCTCCCGACAGCCAGTTGGAGCAACAATAAGTGTAGCAACCGCAGATAAACCCCTTGATTAACCTGAGCCACCGCCTTCCCCAGAGCTCTTAATAAGAGAATGAGCCTGGGTGCTGGGAAGAGACCCCAACTGCTCTAGATTAGGGCTCTGGTTTTTGTCTTCAAAACAAGCCTTAGCCCCTAGAGATGCGCAGGGTGCTCATTGGAAACATAATCACCCTTCTGCTGCGTATGAGGAGTACGATCTGCTATGTAATTGTGTGACCAGCCGTCCGTCTATGGGTCCAAGAACTCCTCCTACGTGGTAAGAGTGAGGCTCACCAAATTTGGTAGGCAGCTTTCGCCTCTTCTAACGTAAAGCCAGGTCGGGGTTTCATTGTGCCAGCACAAAGGGATGTGCGTGGAATGGGATGGTTTTGCATCAGACAAAAAGAGAGGGGTGTGATAGCGGGGACAGTTATACTCACAAATGATTACAGGCAGGTGGCAAGCGCCTCAGCCTCAGGAGGTAGTCGCGGGCCAGCAGCAAGGTCCCCACTGGCCCGGGTCAGCTCCAGGGAGCAGTGCCCACTGTGCAGTGGGGCCCCTGCCACTCTAGGCTAGCCCTGGGGAGCAGCTACACAGCATGTCGCATGCCCCCCACAGCTCTGGGCCAGCCCTGGGGAGCAGCCAGTAGGCAGGGCACGCAGCCTCTGCCGCCCCAGGCAGAAGCTGGCCAGTGGCCTTCATGGCACCCTGCTACACCAGGTCAGCCCTGGGGAAAAGCTGGCAGGGGGGAGCAGCCAGTGAACGGGCTGCATGACCCCCCTACTCCCTCGGCTGCCCTGGGCAGAAGCCAACGAGCGGCCCATATCGCTTCCCCTGCCCCCTTGTCCCAGGCTGGGTTGCCTGGGCCTACTAGCCTGGGTTGGCCCTGGGCCTGGGCAAAGCTGGGTAAGTCTTCTAGTATGGGAGTAAAACCAGGCCCCCTTGTTAAAAGGGATGCAGAGGAAATCAGAAGTCCATTTAGCAATATTTTGTTTCTATGTGTGTAGCTACGATGGTCACAATGTATTGAAAGCAGCTCTCTCCATTTTTCTCAATTTAGATTTTTCTCGAGGACAAGTAAAGTTATGGGGCGGGATAAGCAATCATTTAATGACAGCAGATGGTGAGATTCCGAAAGTCCAAGCTTTATAACCCTTCAGGCACAGATTGTCAGCAGCACATGTGCAAAGAGCTCTCAGGCCTCATTTTTCTTGCCTTGCCTAGATATTAAATTTGGATTAGTATCAAAGGAAACGCGTTTTGTCGGTTTGTGTGCGTACAGTGTGTGCTCACATTGCGGATAAAAACCCAATCGCCACAAGCCTTGGTGTAAGAACCTCCGGTGGGAACAGACGTTGGCTAATGGGCCCGAAGTCTAACACAATCCACGTTCTGGGAGTTGAAGCTAGACCCAGACTGGAAAGAAGGTATTAAGTGAGGGGATTTCACCGTTGGAATCACTTACCAAGGGCTGTTGTAGAGTCTCCATCCCTGGCATTTTAAAAGGAAAATTGGGTGTTTTGATAGTATGACCTAGTGGGTAGAGCACTGGGCTGGGATTCAGGATACCTGAGTGTTGGGCCTGGCTGTGCCACTAGTCACGGTCTCCCACTGTGCTTTAGTTTTTTCTTCTGTAGTGGGGCTGCTGAGCCTGCCTTGCTTTGTACCACGCTCTGAGGTTGGGGAGAGAGTGGCATTTAAGAGCTGGGGTAATTATTGTACGCTCTTGTTCAAACAGGAATGCTGTCTTATGTCCTAGGCAAGCCAGAGAATGGGAACAGAACCCTGGAGCCCTGGCTCCCAGCCCCCTGCTCTAACCACTAGTCCCCCCCTGCTCCCAGGGCTAGGGATAGAGCTCAGGTGTCCTCGTGCACACCTCTTTCTGGGCCAGCCACCCGCTGAGGTCCTTTGAAAGGCAGCCTCCTGCTAACGTGTCTTCCTTGACCCCCAGGATTCAGGGTATCCCCCTGTGGGTGATGTGCGAGACCCCAGGCCACGCAGGATCTGGTCCAAGCACAGAGACCTGTCGCTTCCTGTTCCCAAGTTCAAGGTAAGCAGGGCTGCGTCTGCCTGGTCTCAGCTCTCCCTGGAGCCGCCCAGCGTCCCCTCTGCTGCTGCCCGAGCCAACCCCAGGTCTATTGCCGCAGCAGCTCCCAATGAGCTGCTAATCTTTCAGCTGGGGAGTTCCCATCTGAATGTGTGCTGGGAGCCAGCCAATGTCTGGGCCTTTCGGCCACTGGGGCTGCCGTACACCAAAGGTGGGGGATGGCACTCTCCTCATCTTGGGGCAAGGCCCCGGTCCCATTCCCTGTCCCGTGATCCGGCCAGTCCCCAACGCTGGGACCACATGGGAGCCAGTACCCCCTACCGGGGAAAGGCCCCGTGTCCTGTTCCTGCTTCCCTAAACCAGCTGGTCTCCGGTTCTGAGTTTTGATGGGAATCAGGCCCTCTAGAGGGGAAAGGCCTGGTGATCTGTCCTCCCCCCGCCACCCTAGTGCTGGATCACAGCTGATGCTCCCTAGAGAAGAAGGAAGGGGCCCATTGCCTGGAGGTCGGTGGGGGTCAGTGTGTAGCTGCTGATCTCTCTCCTCCCTGGTGGCAGCTGGACGAGTTCTACATCGGGCAGATCCCATTGAAGGAGGTGACCTTCGCCCGGCTGAACGACAACATCAAGGAGCCCTTCCTGGCCGAGATGTGCAAGAAGTACGGGGAAATCGAGGAGATTGAGATCCTCTACAACCCCAAGAACCGCAAGCATCTGGGCCTGGCCAAAGTGCTTTTCACCAGCACCCGGGGAGCCAAGGAGACTGTCAAGAACCTGCATAACACCTCGGTCATGGGCAACATCATCCACGCTCAGCTGGACATCAAAGGTACCAAGCCCACCTGGGATCCCTCCTCAGTCCCCTGCTTCCCAGTGCCCTTCCAGAGCCCAGGGACTTTAGACCAAGCAGCTCGGTCTTCAGGAAGCTAAACTGCCACGGCGCTGGGACCCTGACTGGCTGGGTGCTCCCCTTTCACTCGTCCTTGCTCTGAATCTGTCCTGCTTCCTGGTCTCCCAAGAGCCCTGCTCTGTCTTTCCACCGCCAGGTCACGCAGTCACCGCTTAGCTGAGCAGTTCTGTCACCACCGCCGGCAACAGACTGGCAAAATTGGGGTGGGCACCATTCAGCTGTATTTGGCACTGCTGTGCAGCTGTTGCTCTATTCCAGAGGCAGCTGCATCTCAGCGCCCGTCGAGCCATCCTTGTGCAGTGTTGTATGTGGATGTTCTGCAGCAGCCCTGCGCCGACTAGGACGCCCTAGCTTGATCTTTTTCTCTCAAATGTGCTCTCTTCCTGTCCCTACAGGACAGCAGCGGATGAAGTACTACGAGCTGATCGTCAACGGCTCCTACACCCCTCAGACTGTTCCCACCGGGGGCAAATCCCTGAGCGAGAAATTCCCAGCGCCCGTGACCCAGGCTGAGACGGTACAGGAGGCTGGTTGGGTGGGCTGGGAGCCAGGCTCTGACCCCACGGTCTCAAATTCAGGCACCGACTTCCATGTTTAATGGAATGGGAATAAGTAGCTGCCCAGAGGCGGCTGCATCGCAGTGCTGTGCAGCTGTGCTGCATCTCATTGCCGGGTGAGCCATTGCCGTGTGACACTGCTGTGCAGCTGGGCCTCAGGTGCTCCACTCCAGAGGTGGCTGCATCAGAGTGCTGGGCAAGCCATCCCCTTCCGATGTCACCGTGCAGCTGTTCCCCAGCTGCCCTGCCCCGAGGAACCAGATGTCTCTGAACTTCTGTTCCTTCCTCCTGTAGTCTGAGTCCCGACGGCGCCAGTCCACTGACTCCTCCTACTCGGCCAGCACTGTGGGTTCGACGCCTGGCAATGGGACCCCTTGCTCTCAGGACACCCCGTACTCCAGCGGGCGCCAGGACACCCCCTCGTTCTATGGTCAGTTTACCCCCCAGTCGTCCCAGGGGACCCCGCACACCCCTCGAGGAGGAACACCGTATTCCCAAGACTCGGCCTACTCCAGCAGGTACGTGCTCTGCACTCTCTGCTTGACCCGATGCATGGCTCCCCTGCGCCATTGGCGCGTGCCAGGCAGCTGGGCAGGAACTGAGCCTGGATGGGGGACCAAGAGGGTGCTGGAAGGAGTGAGGCAGGGGCTCCGGAGTGGGTGCTTTCCCTGGCAGACATTGCCCCAGGGTGGCACTAGGGGGCGCTGTGCTGCAGGGTGCTGGGCAGGGGCTCGGGAGTGGGTGCTTCCCCCTAGTAGTCAGGGCTGGCCTCAGTATCTCCGAGTTGGCTGAGCCAGCCCTGTGTGGTGTTGTGTGTGGCTGTGATCCAGCCATCCTGCCCCAGCAGTGGCTGCAGCTCGGTGGCAGTGTACCTGGATTTCACTATCCTCCCCGTCTCCTAGGCAAGGCACGCCCAGCTACTCCAGCTACCATCCCGAGCCAACCTCCTACAAGTCCCGCAGGCATGAGAACAGCTACACCGAGTCCTACTCCCGCCGGCACTACTCTTCCTCCTCCTCGTCCTCTTCCTCCGCCGCCGCCGCCACCTCCTCCTCTTCCTCGCATTACCGCTCCAGCGACCCCCACTACTCCCCCTACAACCAGCAGTACGAGGGGGCAGGCAGTCGCCACCAGCGCCGCCAT